TGAGTTTTTATCAAATTGTCGTCGCGAATCGACATGGATTCAATATCATTTCTGGCTGGGATGTAAAACTTTATTTTAGAAAATATTAATTCAGTCGTCTTACACCTTATAGGTCAGTCTATCACCTTACAGGTGATTATTAAAAATCATCTTATACGCACATGCCAAATGACAAAATTGACATCTCTAAAAAAACAAAATAGTATTACTAATTCTAATTTATTATTAACTTTTTCCATTCATGTAAATAATAAGTAAGATTCTGGAAAGTAAAAAATATATTATTCTTATTATCGAGGAAATTGAAAAATTCCACAAACATTAAAATCATAATCTTATTCTTTGAATCAAATAAAAAATTTAATGTCTAATTAACATCTTTGCCAGAGGAATATGTAATTAACAAGAGACAGATTTACATTTGCTTTCTCTAAATAAAATCTATATTTTGCCAAAAGGTCTGTCATATTGATATACACTACCTGAAAAAGAATGAAAGAAATCTTATTGTTACGGAAAAGAAAGAAAATACGAAAGGTCCCGAAGAGGATCTTATACAAATATGCCTAAAAATTACCTGAGTCAAATTCTTCGAGTTTTAATAAATCTTAATGTCTCAAACAAAGAAATCTTTACAAAAAAATAAAATCTCACAAAAATAATTATGTTATACATATATAAATAAATTTGTTGTGAGTGAGGTTGAACAAAAAAATTATCAAATATTCAATTGCAACAACGACTCTTTTTAATGTGTGTGTGATACTTTTCATCAATATATTTTATTACATTAATTTTATGTTTTTAATATATTGTCAACTGTCACTCAAAATTTCAGTTAATTTATTTATATTAAATTGAATGTTTAAAATTTCAAAACTGATTACATAGATAGTAGTTACTAAACCGAAAAAATGCTAGCTAGAAGATCAATCATGTCGAGTAGAATTGCTTTATAATTTTTGTAAAACAAAGAATTAATATTTAATTGATTAAAAATTTATTACGCGCTTACGAAAAATTATTTTATATAATTCCATTATAATGTAATGAAAAGTATTCTATATGTTTTCCACTGCACTCGAAATTTACATTTCTGTATCACAATCATTTCAAACATTGTTGTTTTAATTATTTATATATATATATATATATATATATATATTTTAGAATCTGTGATCACAATAATGTATTACGGAACGCGCATTCTGGAATTCTCTATCCTCTCTTTCTCCTATCTTAAGGGCGGGTGTGGAAAGGGAATCTTTTGTGTTTCCCATTTTCGTGTGTTTCTTTTATACACTGAGTCACAAGGTAACTGTATAGTGGAAGAAAATGCAATAGTTCTTTCGAGTCTATGGGCTTACAGTTTAGGTTTAGAAGAAAAGAGTGGACATTTGGTGTGGGAATATTCTGGAATATACTCAAGACACGAAATCGTCCTCTCTGAAATCGCAAACGTATGAAATCAGTATTACGGTATCTTTTTCACACATATACGTTATCACACAAAAATTATACAGAAATAGTGCAATGGCTTCGATAACGTGCTTACCTGAAGAGATGATAACCATTATTCTTGAGTACGATAACATAAGTATTGAGGATATTATCAATTTTCGATGCACGTGCCAGCAATTCCGGAAAGCAGCCGGTTTCGTAAAGCTTATAGATAAAAAGTTTTCGCAAAGGTAATTGTTTGTTTATGAATATTATTGTAATTTAATTTTTGGTAATTGACCTGTTGCTTAATGGTACATTTCTAAAAAACTATATATACTCCTCATATATAAATTAAATTTATATATACATAATTAATATAGAAATTAAATATATAAAAATATAATATATATATATACTAAACATAAATGTAATAAATATAATTAAAAATATAAATATAAATATTAAATAATGATTTTTAAAAAATACATTTAAGTATAAAAATTATATTGCATTGAAACATTCAAAGATTATAGACGAGTGTAATAAATAATACAAACACGGGTATATATTAATTCCATGTAAATAAAATAAATTTTCTTAAAAATAATTTCTCCTGCTTTTCCTATTTTCTACACATTGATAAATCTTATTGGTTTTTTTATTTGACAGACTTATAATGCAATAAATAAATATAATATAAAAATAAAATCTCGACGGCAATCGGAGCCTGTGCGGATGACATGCACAAAATTAATAAATTAAAATGAGATCTCAAGTCAAACTCATTTATTAAATTCTAAACGTTTCGACCCACTTCGGGTCTTCTTCAGTAGCTGCAAAATACAAAGAAACAAAAAAAATAAAAGATAATCGGTACAATCAGAAAATTATAAAACTCGTATACATACAATCCGCAAATAAATTAAATATCATTCTCCTCCCTATTCGAACCGTCCGGCCGTCGGAGTGTCTCCCTAACGGTGACCATCGTCAGGAAGGAAGCAGAGCAGTGACTCCCTTACCAACACTAATCAACATAGTATAAATTAAACGTGTAAGATCCCCAAGAATTATAAATTAAAAACCGGGAAGAACACTCACCCCGACAGCAAAAACAGAGAGAAGACGATGCTACACGTGACACATCACTCTAACGACTGTGCGGTATTCTACATCGACACAGTCGATACATATATACGCAAAAAAAAAAAAAAAAAAAAACAAATATAAAAATAAAATATGAAAATAAAAATAAAAACAACTAATACTTATCGGCACTCATGTCAAAGGTCTAACGAAAAAATCCGGTTATGTATAATCACAAAGCTAGATTTTGGTAAATTTTTCAATTAACAGATCAAAATTCTCGTTTAATTTGTCGGTGTCGCTATGTAAATTTAAACTATTCTTCTGACGCTTTATGTGGATCATTTCGGATATCAAACGTTTACCTAAAAAAGGCTCCTCGTCCAAGACTTTTACATCCTCCCAATTAAATTCATGGTTCAATAATCTATGTTCCGATATGACTGATAATTGTGACGCGTTTCTTTTTATGTTGCTGCGATGTTCTTTCATCCTAGTTTTCAACAATCTACCCGTCTGCCCTACATACGACGCATCACAATCCATACAATCAATTTTATAAACTACATTGTTATGGAGTTCCCTTGGTAACTTATCCTTGTGTACTTTGATGAATTTACGGAGACGTTGTACGGATTTCATCAAAGTACACAAGGATAAGTTACCAAGGGAACTCCATAACAATGTAGTTTATAAAATTGATTGTATGGATTGTGATGCGTCGTATGTAGGGCAGACGGGTAGATTGTTGAAAACTAGGATGAAAGAACATCGCAGCAACATAAAAAGAAACGCGTCACAATTATCAGTCATATCGGAACATAGATTATTGAACCATGAATTTAATTGGGAGGATGTAAAAGTCTTGGACGAGGAGCCTTTTTTAGGTAAACGTTTGATATCCGAAATGATCCACATAAAGCGTCAGAAGAATAGTTTAAATTTACATAGCGACACCGACAAATTAAACGAGAATTTTGATCTGTTAATTGAAAAATTTACCAAAATCTAGCTTTGTGATTATACATAACCGGATTTTTCGTTAGACCTTTGACATGAGTGCCGATAAGTATTAGTTGTTTTTATTTTTATTTTCATATTTTATTTTATATTTGTTTTTTTTTTTTTTTTTTTTTGCGTATATATGTATCGACTGTGTCGATGTAGAATACCGCACAGTCGTTAGAGTGATGTGTCACGTGTAGCATCGTCTTCTCTCTGTTTTTGCTGTCGGGGTGAGTGTTCTTCCCGGTTTTTAATTTATAATTCTTGGGGATCTTACACGTTTAATTTATACTATGTTGATTAGTGTTGGTAAGGGAGTCACTGCTCTGCTTCCTTCCTGACGATGGTCACCGTTAGGGAGACACTCCGACGGCCGGACGGTTCGAATAGGGAGGAGAATGATATTTAATTTATTTGCGGATTGTATGTATACGAGTTTTATAATTTTCTGATTGTACCGATTATCTTTTATTTTTTTTTGTTTCTTTGTATTTTGCAGCTACTGAAGAAGACCCGAAGTGGGTCGAAACGTTTAGAATTTAATAAATGAGTTTGACTTGAGATCTCATTTTAATTTATTAATTTTGTGCATGTCATCCGCACAGGCTCCGATTGCCGTCGAGATTTTATTTTATTGTATCACAATAATTTGAGCCGAGATTAACAGTTTTTTTTATATTAAATATAATATAGGTAAAATATTAATACTTATATAATACAAAAATATAATATTATATATAATAAAAGGGAGATAAATTTTGAAATACAATATCCTTTTAGTTTCGCATGTTTCTTTTGTTAATTTTTTATTTTATTTTTTGTTACATAATATATAATAAACACGACCAAATAATTAATATATTGTTTATTTGATTATAACGTCAATCATAATGGTTTTTTATACTAATGGAAATCTCGTATTTAAGATCTCTATTGTTCCTCAATAAGTCTTAGCAACGGCTAAGGAAAATTCGTGCTTTGTGCACATGTGTAAGACGGCAAAAAATTAAATTTTATCGTCCTCGCGCACGTACATTTGCAGTAGGCTGGTACAGCGTAAATCATATCTTTCTTTGTTATTATTTAATATAAATAGTTATATAAGTTGACATTGTTTTTTATTGTTTTATTCTTTTTTTTATTTCAACCGAATGATAAGACCAAAACGATCATAAATAATAAATAAATTAGGTTTTTAATTAGTATATTTATATTGAAATGTTTTAATTTATTGTTATTATTATTCCAATAAATTTGTAAAATATTATAAATTTATTAAATATTTCATAAATATAGAATGTAAAAGTAATAGTATATGGTTATCGTTAAATAATAGAGTTATAAAACAAGATATAAAATATATTGCTTTGTCTGCTACTATTTTTAGTATTATTATGTACATTCTTGATGTAAAATTTAATTATATAATTTAAAATTTTTTCAAGATTGTACAATTTCTACAATAAGGCAAGAAGATTGATATTTCGATGATGTATCTTCAAACTGTATTTAAACCTTAGTCAGAATTGAACGAAAAGACGTCGAATCAATATCGATTCGACATCAATTCGAGGTCGATTCGACGCCGATTTAACTATCATTTTTAACTGGGACATTTTTCTTCTAATTTTAGATGGCCCAATGGCAAAAAATATTACGATAAGATATCTAAATATGAAATATATGAGCTAAATCTAAAAGATATTTTGAAATTTGAGGAGAAATCTGTAGAGAAATCTGAGAAGGAACCTGAACAATTGATGATTATGAATAAAAGTTTAAATTTTACAGAAATAGGAATATACAGTGTAAAGTTGTCACAAAATATTATATCTGAAATACTAGATAAGCTTTATGATATGAATGATTCGATAGCTTATATAGCAGATTTTGATTACGAATATCAATTAGAAAATACAAGGGCACCTGACCATAACATATACAGAATGGAACAAATAGCTAAAAATTTCGTAACGAACACTTGCATCTCTGATGAAATTAAATACTTGTTAACAACCGAATCTTCACGGTATGATTTATTATAAATTAAGTGCTTTGAATATCATAGACTGAAAAAATACACTTATTGTTCTGTTTCTTTTTTCAGAAGTGCTAATTGCGATCTAACCAAGAGATATTGCAATATGAGATTGTATAATTATTTGAGAAAACATGTGGTGTTTGGAAAGTGGAAAGGATTTCAAGCAAAACCAGCTGAACAACAGCTAATGGAACAAGCTGCTACTATTTTGGCTCAATATCTTCAACCAGAAAAGGATATATTTTACTCGCGCATAAAAACATCATTAAATACTATCGCACAAAACGCACGGAATTTGCTCAGAAAAAAATATCCCGATCATTCAATATTCGGGACGTCTGCCGAAAATTTTTCCTATTGGGAAAACAATAATATTAACGATAATTATTGGGACGAAGCGGAAGGAACTCAAATTATGGATACACTGCAGGAATATATATTTGGTGAACTCAACTTTCGAATTAACCAAAAGGAAGACGATGATGAATTGAAACAGTATTGTATAGATAATGTAAGTTATTACAGATTATAATACATAATAATTATAGTCAATTATGCTATAAATATATTCAGTGTAAAGTAAACTCGCGTATGATGACCAATTATAAGGTTTTATTTTTTTTTCTTGAAAACTAATTGATTTTACGAAAATGAAAAAAAAAAATAAAAAAGTTTCAAAAGGAATCAATATTTCTAACGCATATGTTTGAATAATCATATTCTGTTTAATAAGTTCTAATAAAAAATTGAATATGGATTGTTAGTTTCATCTCTCTATAATAATAAAGATTAAAAAGCAGGGAAAAATTATTAAAAAGATATTAACAAACATTCTTTTTGATAGTAATATAAGTCAATTTACATTTTTTAACTTGTCCATAATTTTAGAAAAAATTTGAAAAATCTGATTTTTATCTTCTTTAAAAAAGTATAACTCCTCAGAGAGGGATAGGATAAACTCGTGCGTGATAGCCGTACCAAAAATATGACCACAATCTGTAATTTTTCTAATAATCGCTAAATAATATGTTTTTTATTATTCTCAAATATAATCAATATTTACAATAGTATATATGCATATACAATTTGGAATAACAATATAGTAAATATTATACCATGCTCTTATTTTTTACTACCACCAAAATATTTCACATGTTCACTAAAACATATGCTATGACGTCGAATAAATATTAGTTGAGCTGTTATACTCAACATTATACATAACAAAAGTATATAAATTTTAAAATTCTCGTAAAAGATGGATTTTTTCTTACAAATTAAAAAAAAAAGTTTGTGCAATTTTTTTTTTTCGAAAACACTTGTTCTCCCTTCTCTAATTAATTTTCGTATTGTAATTTCCGAAACAGGTCTTAGAAAATAAATATGGCGATGATAATATTATATTAACAATATATCACAGCGTGGCCAGAAGACTTGGTCTACGGTGTGATATAATTGAAACTAATGGAGAAATGTGTATATTTTGGAAACCTAAATAGTAAGTATATTTTATTTAGATTATAAATTATCCGAATTGTTCGATATTTTTACTTTCATTATATATACACACGCACATGTTTACATATATATATGTATATATATATAACTTTACTTGTTTATATATGTATATGTATGTATGTATATATATATATATATATATATATATATATATATATATGTATAGATGTGTAACTTTTTATTGTTTCCAGTGCCACGAACAGCTTAGAAAATGTAAGGTGTTTTTACATAAGTTTTGACAAATTCCCGGCTAATCTTATCGAGATGTCTTTTTCAGAACCTTCTGAATATTACAGAATGTCAGCTAGTGAGGTTGGCAATTATTCATAGATGATTTATATCAATTTTAATATTTATTAATTAATGCATTTGCAACATCGAAACCACGAATTTTTGAAACACATCTTATACATAGAAAAAATATACCATTTCTCATTTTTTTTTTCGTAATCGCAACTTTATCTACGTATACATGTTTATAATTTTATTATCTCTTCCAGTTAATTGAAGACATTTTAGATAAAAGTGACAATTTTTACTGGAAAAATAATATTTTGAAGATGCCATCAAAAGTAATACTATTATCAAGTTTATCCATTTGCAAGAATGAAAAACGTGTATGTCGGCATTATACAATATTAATATACATATATTGATAATCATAAATGTTATTGTTTGTTCTCTTATATCATATTCAATTATGGGCGAATTATAATTTAATTCACTATTATTCATTTTACTACAAAAGTTCAACTAGAAATTACATAATAAAAATTATTATTTAAAGAATAATATTACAATTTATAGGGTGCATTTAAATTTAGTAAATTAAATCAGTCGATTGGACGACCAAATAATATCAAATTTGTAGTTGGAATGATCGTAAAACATAATAAAAATGAAAGTCATGAATCTACAAACGGTATTCGCGGTGTAATAGTAGGTTGGCACAAAAATAAATTTGGCCTTAAAAAAATATTCTACAGCGACAGTTACCAATTCGGACACAAAATAATCTTCTACTGCTATCTTAGGCCTTTCAATACTTACTCGTATTATGCTTTTTTGGAAGCATCCACATATGAACAACCACATTACATAATACTTACTGAAAAGAACACACTGTGTTTCATAAATGAAGGTAAAATTATTAAAACTTATTTCTTTTTTAAATATATTTATTAAATTACAAACACGTCTCTTCTATACGCAATGTAAAAAAATATTTTATTTATTCTGGTTTATTCCAGACTCTTTATTAATTTAGTTATTCTGTTTATTTTATTTATTTTTATTTATTACATTTTATTTATTATTTCTTGATACAGTTTATTACTTAATCGTAGTTATCATTGATTTATTTTTTTTTACTTATTTTTTTTTTTAATTTAGACGCTCTGACCTTAACAACTGGATGGGTCGAAAATTACGAAATAGGACGTTATTTCTGTAAATTCGAAGACACGCATTACGTACCAAATAAAATGATGGCAGAACTTTATCCGCACGATGCCGCTATAATTGAGGAAAAAAACAATATCAAATACGGTATACAAATGGCTAACTATAAGCACAAACGCAGTAATTAAGACACGTATATTTTATTGTAAATTATACTCATTTTTAATGTAAGTATTATAATGTAAGTATTATCAAAAAAGGGCGTACATTTTAATCTGTTTCTGGATCATCTGTAGCGCAATTGAATAGTAAATTTAACATAATAATAATATAAATAAAATTACTAACAATTTATTAAAATGTTCTCTTACCTCATTGAAATATTAAAAGATAACTCCATTTTAAAATGATAACTCCAAAGTATCACACATATTTCCAAGATATATTACAATTTGTAAATCAAAAATTAAATTCTACTAAGAGTCTAATAAGGCTAACTATTTATTATTAAAATATCTTGTCAGAAACAAAATTTCAGCTAATAAATCATTGAAACGATACGAGATAAAAAATGACAAGAGTTACAAAAACGAATAATATTTCTGATTGTGAACGAGATGTAACATAAATCGATCAAACTATCAAGGAGACTAATTATAAATATATTCATTTAATTATATTATAAATTATATTGTAAAATATTTATTTTGATTACATTTTTGTTTTTGATCATCCAACGTTTAGTATGTTAACATATGAATAATTTATAATATCGACTTTGTATTATAATATATTGCTGTCATGACAAACTAAAGTTTTAATCTAAATATTTCTAATGATTGTTCTGCGCCATATATAAAACAAACTAAGAGGCATCATAATACTAGATTTAAAGAACATCGGAATAATATAAAATTAGATATTACTTTGTATTCTGCTATTAGCAGACATCGGTCTGATTTCGATTGGAATAGTTTTAATATTTTACATACTAAAAAACATGTAAAGAAGAGAAAGTTGTCAGAAATGTTTTCCATTAAAAAACTTAATAATAACATTGACTCACAAAAGGATACAGAGAGATTAAATGAAATCTAAAACAAAATAGGCTTACTGATAGTTTTAAAATAGGTTTACTGATAGTTTTAATATACTGTTGACGATCGTCGCTGTGTGATACGTTGATTACTGTCTCTCGCTTTTAATTTCTGATTTTTGTCATAAAGTGTTATAATGTTTATTTCGACAAAAAATGTGAATTTTGCGTATATTTAATTTTATAATAAGTAGTTATATTATATAGTAATATTATCATTGCAATTCTGCATTTGGACAGTTTTGTGCGTTTTTTGTTATCATCTTTATAATTTTTTGTAATTTTTATGTTTAAAATAATTTTTTAGTGTTTTACTTTAAAAGAACTGCAACCACATGGTCGAATCGTCGTGATAGTTAATAAATTGATTTCTTGCTAGTTTGATTGATTATTTAATTATTCCTATTTACTGATTAGCGATTGAAAACAATTACGCGTACAATTTTCTTTGCCTATCCTTTTCAAAAATCTCTAAAGATCAAAACAAGCATTATTTGAAAGACTCTCAAACCAAAAAACTTTTAATGTTTCCGCAAAGAAGGAAAATTTTTCTAAAAAAAGGCTGCTTATGAAAATGTTCACATTACTCATGTATATATATATATATATATATATATATATATATATATATATATGTTATAAAACTACTTGAATTCTTTAAAAATTTTAGAAATGTATGTAAGCTTCCTGTATGCGATGTTGAACAAAAATAACGCTGAAGTATTTAATTGCAAACTGATGTCTTGGGATAAGTAACTTACAGAAATTTAGATTGTACGGAACAAATATCAAACTTTTTATTTTGACAGGTACAGAACACACCTTTTTCCCACTTTTTTGATTCAAAAGTAGACGAACAAAAGAGTGGTAAAAATAAAAAACAATAACTCAGACTATTGTATTAAATTAGACGTGAATCTTTAAAAATATCTAAATTGCAAAAACGTATTTATTGCAACACAAAAAAATACGATTTTTTTTTTTAATATGACGCTTTTCTGCTTTAATGCTATTCCGTATTCATCTATCTTTTTCTATCTTAAAGGCGCATAGATCGAATAGAAGTATTGTGCTTTCTTTTCCATTTTGGTGGTTTCTTTGATTCATATAGTCACGTGACAACTCTATGGTGGGAGAAAGCATAAAAGAGTCTCGATTCTGTAGCTAGTATGGATTTTCAGGTCAGAAAATAAGGATAAGACATAGTGTAGAATTCTTTATTATATAGTAAACATAAGATTTGCATTTGTACTCTTTGCAATCGGTAAAAGAAACACTATTACGGTAGATTTTTCATGCGTTCAGACAATAAATTAATTGTACGGAAATATTGTAATGGCTTCGATACAGTTATTATCTGAAGAGATGATAACCATCATTCTTGGCTGCAATAATATAAGTATTGAGGATATTATGAACTTTAGATACACGTGCAAGCAGTTCCAGTGGGCAGGCGAATCCAAGAAGTGGCAAAAAAAAAAGTTGGCAAAAAAAATATTTGCAGAGGTAACTCCGCTTGTTGAGACCTTAAGAGATTATGTAAATTCTATAAAGTTCAGAGAATATTATAAAAATATTGCAGTCGTAGTATGTTTATCAAATGTTTTGTGAATGTACACAATATGTACTCTTGAGATATTCTCCGAATATTATAAATTTGTATTTGTTCCCCCATGACTTATTGTTTTGAACTAATATTTATACAATAAAAATATAATACAAAATCACCTAATCTGTAAACAATGTTTAAGCTCGTATATAAACAAACACAATGATAACTTATTAACTATTACGAGGCCATGTGTAACGAGCAAATAAAAAATTATTATAAATCTTGGAAAAATTTTAATTTAAAAAAACCCTTTATAAACGTTTCGAACTGTACTTAGTCTTCTTCAGTGCGCAATAAACATTATAATAAATAAATAAATATAAATAAAAATCCAATGTTACTAACTTATTACAATTTAGGAGTAAATTCTGCCTGCCGTTTAATAATGATAAAAAGTTGGTCATACACGAGTTTATCAAGGATATGGAAGGAAATTCCACCAGTTACAACATCAAAAATTTAAAAACATTGCGCAACAATTTGGTTCCACAACTTTCTAACTTTTTACGTGGCAAAACTAAGTTTAATTCAATTCATAATGAATTGATTTGCATGCATAGATACACAAGGAAATTTTGCCATAATAATCTTGATATTCTCTTTACAAGGGCCGATAAGGGCAATGTAACAGTCGCGATAACAAAAAAATATTACACGGATAAGATGGAGGGCCTACTTGATGACAATAGTACCTATTCTATCATAAAAAAGAATCCATCCTCTAGAATAGAAAAGGAACTAAACGATACTCTTAAAAAATGGCAAAAAAAAGGGTACATTTCCAACAAAGAATATTTTTCACTACGTTCCAGTGACTCCCTTCTTCCAAAATGTTATGGTCTCCCAAAAATACACAAGAAGAATACTTCATTTAGAATTATTGTGTCATCAATTAATACCACGCTATACTCGATTGCCACATTTTTACATAAAATTATATCAAATGGTATTCCCACGGTTAAAAGCAATGTAAATAACAGTTTTGAATTATATAGCAAGCTAGCGGGTAAACAAATTAGTACAGAAGATATTCTAATATCGTTAGACGTGGTTTCACTTTTCACTAACATTCCGATAGATCTTGCAATTGAAAGTGTGAGCAATAGATGGAATGATATTAACACACATACATTCCAAAAAATGAATTTATTTCTATGGTTAAATTTATACTGTCGTCAACATATTTTACATTTAATGACATTGTTTACAAACAAGTTTATGGCACGCCTATGGGTTTCCCGTTATCGCCAATAATTGCTAATATCGTTATGCAAGATCTGGAGGAATCGATTATTAACACATTGGATTTTAATATCGGAATGTATTATAGATATGTAGATGACATTATTATGGTGGCACCAAAGGATAAGATAGATAGTATATTGAATAAGTTTAATACCATCAACGACTACAATTTACGGTTGAATACGAAAATAATAGAAGCATACATTTTTTAGATTTAAACATTAAGATCATCGACAACGTCATACACTTGAACTAATTTCAAAAAAAGACTTGTTCAGGCAGAGTACTATCTTTCTTATCAAATCACCCCATGTGCCACAAAATAGGAGTGATTTATAATTTGATCGATAGAGCATTGTTATTATTTCATCCCATATATCACAAGGAAAATCTAGAACTGTGTATTGAAACATTGTTGGACAACGGTTACCCTATTTATTTAATTTTTAAAGAAATAAATAGAAGAATAAAAGTAGTAAACAATTAGCAGTTTAACAACAATAGAACAAAACAAATTATAGAGGGAAATAATAAAAAATTTTTTGTTATCCTCTATATTAATAACATCCCGGAAACAATGGCATCGACATTAAAAAATCAGATTTTAGAGTAAGGTACCGTTGTCTTAATAATCTTAACAAATTCATCAGAGTCCATAAGGACAAAAATGCGCATAATAGCAATAATAATGTCGTCTACAAAATCAATTGTAAAGACTGCGAAGCTTCATACGTTGGGCAAACCAAAAGAAAATTACGTACTAGACTAAAGGAGCATATAAATAACATTAAATTTGATTCTTCTAAGCATTCTGTGGTCTCGCAACATATTGTAGATAAAAAACATGCTTTTGATTGGGATAACGTCAAAATACTTGATATCGAATCTAACTATTATAAAAGACTTATCTCGGAGATGATACACATAAAGGAACAAAAGCATGGTATAAATAATAATACAGACACTGAATTGCTCAACAACGCTTATTTTGACATTCTAGAAGAAATAAGAAATTTTTAGACTTATTAATATGTTTATGTTTTTGCGACTTGACACCTATATATTCAACTTTTCAAATGACTCGACATCAGTTAAGTATTAAGTTCAACAACAATTAGAGGCATGGTCATCTCAATTTATTCGGAGACAATAGTAAGCAACAATTAATTAATTTTTAATTTTTAATTCTTAATTTTTTACACATACATAAGTCAATTTCTATTTTATATTAAAATTTTTAAATTCAATTTATAACATTTTAAAAAAACTTGGAGATGATGAACACGTTCATTGCCGGACTGATAGCCTTTCGCCGACTAACGATGAGCGGTTGGTTTGGA